CATGCGATCACGAATATTTTATAACTCCTCAAAAAAACGCAAAATATTTTAGATTCACCAAACAATTTATTAGGCAATTATTTTGGTTTCAATCGACTCGTGTTTGTACGCATCACTAAACATTAATAATTCGAGCGATAATTTTTTCTATTCGTTTTTTTATAGACATTATAAGCTCGCGATAACAAAATCCGCATTCAAATGTTTTCAAGCTCGACACATTATATGACTGTTATTGTTCCTCGAAATATCATCGCGAAAAATATTATGGAACTCAACACGTAACTTAAATTATTCCGATACAAATTATCTTCATTTATATGTGAAGAGCAGCTGATGTAATAACACGTGCGCCGCTGGCCTCGTTCGTCCTGTAATGCCGTAACCTCAGGACATCCGTTCTTATTATTGGGTATCCAGGCATGGGCACCGGCCAAGACTGACCGCGTTCCTGGCGAGGCAGTCATTAGAGTGACGGCGGTGAGCGGAGGCGGTCGCATCGCTCTCGAGCTTCTTCACTGACTCGACGTCGTCTGCTGAAGGAAGTTAACGGTGTTTCTGTGCACCCGAACTATTTGAATTGCATCGATTTTTATTCTGTAACAATGCCGTGCGATGTATTCCGTATGCGACTTTAACGTTAAAATATTTCCGATTTTTATTTTTTAATTATTATTGAAAATTCTATTCAAAACTATCAATGTTGGTGTTGTACTTTACTAACTGAAGCAAGTGCGCTCCGGTGGTAAATACTGAGCGATGAAGTAGCTTACTGAAGTGATCCGCAATATTTCGGAACAACTGGTTTGTGCTGCGTGTATTTTTGATTTGAGCTGCGTTTAGAACTGGTTTGTGCCGCGTGTACTCATACGCAAAGAATTATAAATTTCATTAAGATTGCATGGATAATAATTTCGGTAGTTCTGACTGTTCCATAGGTACAGATAGTTAACATACAGATTCTTCATTGTATGACTTTACATGCTAAGTTTTCACACAAGACATAATTTCAATCCCCGGTGCCACCTCGACATTATTACTGATATTTTAATGTTCCTTGTTTTATGATCAGAATATCATTTGTTTCTGGCGAAAGATAATTTCTTTTGTTGCGTCTGATCACTGAAGTGTGAAACTCATTCGTTATTTAATTGAGAGTTTTTTCACATTCAATATATTCACAGAGCATGTCTCGATAGTAGCGACATTAGTGATTATTCCTTGTACGTGCATGCATTAAATAGTTTTGATCGTCTCGAGAATGCTTCTCAACATCAACGGCCGTCTCCTCGTTCGGACCTAACGCCTCGCTGACATTGCCTCTCTGAACAGCCTTGACTTGCGCACTGCTTGCAGCTAACATTTAAACCGTTATCGGGCTTCTGATACTAGTTCTGGGTTGTCAAAATATTGCCGATAATTGACGGAGGTATTTACATGATAAAATTGGCATAAGACTTTCTTGCCATTGAAATTTATTAGTGGATAAAATGCAATGAACAAAACTGAATGTATCTAGAAATAGCCTGATTAGTCTGCCTAGGTTTCGCATCCTAATTATCTTTGTCGATAGAAATCAGAGGTTAGCAGGGCCAAAATTTTTATATTAGCTTGGATATCCACAAATTTTTGCAAGTTTTTTTCCTTCTTTCAGGAGTTGTTTGACCAAGAAGTGAATTTGCCCAAGGGTACTCGGATAATTTATAAATAGAAGCGAGAATTGCAGCGAAAATTTGTATTTTTTCTATGTCAGATGCGTGACTGAACAAAATTTCCTGTTTAATTGAAACTCGTATGTTAGAATATTAAGTTTTGTCTCCCTGTTGTAGCCTTCAAGTTAGTTATATGTTAAATGTTATGACTTTTATTTGATATAATGCAGCATTAAGAGTAGCCTTATTAGGGAATAAATAACACAATATAATCGCTCGTTATGAGATTATTTTGCTGTGCGTCAGAATTGAAGGTCAGCGCCACGCTGCAGCGGCACACACTTTCTCCTCAGCGACGGGCGGTCGGTTTCGCTGAACTTGCTTCGTCCGCGTGGTTTTACTGTCAAGGTTACGTAGCATCGATTGCTTTTTGCTTCACATACGCGTGTTGGTTCATGCAAGTGTTAGTGTCTTCGTTGCGTGCACTTACGACTCCTTGACTTTCGATTTCTTGCTCCCATGGCGCTCTAGCGATGACGGTGGAAACTGAGCGAGGTAAAAAGTCTCGTTTTCGTTTTCTCTTCAAGGCTGCAACCAAGCGGGGAATAGCACGTTGGTATTTATTTCATTAGGGTTTAGAGTCAAATTTGTGTTGAATTGATCATAAATTTGCTTCGCGTTTCATTTATTATAATTTGTTTGAATAATCAAATATTTTTTTAATATAGATTGGATATCGAATTAAATTGTTTGAGAAAGAACCTGGTTCGCATTATGTCGAATTAACCTATTATTATCATAACAATTTAATAATATAGTACTTCTCCGTGTTGATTTCAGTGTTCGTTCTGTACGTCGGCACCGTGCCGGCTCACCGTAAAGGTTTAGTCTTCGCTCTTAAAAAGCATAGAAAGTGCGACTTATCGTAGAGTGCAAGATACTGGAATGCGACCCTGTGAAATTTCTTGCGTTGACTGCTTCGCCTATGATTTCCTACATTGTTGACTAAATCGCCTGAAGGATTACTAGAATACCTTCCCGTGCAACTGCTTGCCTGCACCTCACCAAGCTCTCTTGTCATCCCCGCTCTCAACCTCCTCACCAAGCTCTCTTGTCATCCCCGCTCTCAACCTCACCAAGCGCTCTTGTCATCTCCGCCCTCAACCTCACCAAGCTCTCTTGTCATCTCCGCTCTCAACCTCACCACGCTCTCTTGTCATCCCCGCTCTCAACCTCACCAAGCGCTCTTGTCATCCCCGCTCCCAACCTCACCAAGCTCTCTTGTCATCTCCGCCCCCAACCTCACCAAGCTCTCTTGTCATCCCCGCTCTCAACCTCACCAAGCTCTCTTGTCATCCCCGCTCTCAACCTCACCAAGCTCTCTTGTCATCCCCGCTCTCAACCTCACCAAGCTCTCTTGTCATCTCCGCTCTCAACCTTACCAAGCTCTCTTGTCATCTCGTGCGATGAAGGATGCTTATATACCTAGTAAATGCATGATAGAAACCATCAGAACTCATTACTCTTTGTCAACAACTGCAGTTAAACTTAAATTTAATATGATTGAAAATGTTTGCTGGTCGTCTGAAAGTTATATTTGGGTATGTCTCAGATATTGTACTTTTGAGACATAAGATTCTGGACAATATTGAATGTTGTGGCATTGATTGACTGTTAGGCTTATGCTACACTAAGCTGTTAATTAATTATCGAACAAATTTGACATTATGAACACCCGATTGTGTTTCGATTTCAACACATTTACATATACTTGCGTTTTAAACGGCATATTGTGAGAATGAGTTGATTTCAGTTGTGAAACCTTTAAAGAACAGTTGCATTGTTGTAACTGAAAAAAGTCTAAAATTACTTCTTAACTTGTAGAAAAAATGTGGGTACACTGTGGATATGTCACTCCTGTCCACTGTGTTTATGTCAGTTAGCTGTCAGACCTCTTTGTGAACTTGAAATTCGGTTTTCACTGACCGTTTGATAGCCAGTCTGCGGTTTTCCGGCGATGCCTCGATCACAGATATTCTCTTTGTGGGCCTCAGTGATAGGCCTACGATCTCTCTGGCTCCCAATAATTACGTGAATTATGAGACAGACAACAGCAAACACGCTGCTCCATTACAAGTGATAATTACACCTTCGCGCTCTTCCCATCCAACCCTACCATCTCTATCAAGTCTTCTTACAATCTACGTAACTTACCATTCTTCGGGCTGGTAAAGTTTTTTTTCCTGCTTCTTGGGTTGATATAGTTGCACGGCGCGCATCTTGGGGCTATTGCAAGGTTGAATTAATACATGTATTAATTCAACCATGGGCTATTGTACGCGGTCAGAATACCTCTGCTCAGTTCTGATCCCTGCTCCGCTTCTATCACTCATAACCATTTGTTAGGAGGGATCGAAGAACGAATTGAAATAATCATGATGAAAATGGACATTTTCCAGGGATAAAAATTTTGTAGTGGCATAATCTGAAAGGGCTGTGCGCTTCTGTTTTATATTATTCATCCATGTGTATATAACGGTTTAAGAATATTTATTTGATCAAATATCTTGGGTTATTTGATCTTAAATTATTCTAAATTATTTCGTTCATTCAATCCAATAACCTATTAATAATTCAGAAATATGCCTATATCCTTTTTAAAAACTTAGGGAAAAGTCTAGTAATTCTCTCAATTAAATGCCTAAAGTCTGATTATTTATTCACGATTCTTATACCTTGCATTACTTCCCAATTATCGCAGTAAGATTACTTACTCGACATCAAGTATATATATAAACTAGATATTTAAAGCAATCTAGTGACTATTTTCCAAGTATATTAAGTCGTCAGAGCAGCGTCGCTAGTAGAGTGGATCCCACTGGCCGGAGGAACGCTCTGGGACGACAAGCTTCGTACGATCGCGTCCAATTCTTCCATAACTCATAAGCCTATTTATCCTCTAGTGTAAACTGTAAACTATGAAAATAACAAATAACCATAACTCATAAGCCTATTTATCCTCTAGTGTAAACTATGAAAATAACAAAGAGCCGCGGACTGCCAACAATCAAAAAATAAATTAGCTTCCACAATTCAGCTTGATACAAACATTGCTTTTAATTTTTGGTTCTTACTTTTTTCGTTAACCACGCAGTACCACCAATCAAATTCGAGATAAAATCTGTTTTAATATGATTTTTTTCTTCTGCAGGAGGATTAATAATTATTAGGATTTTAAATATATAGTTGTTTATTAATTTGTTTTTGATGGTTAAGTTGCTTATTTAATTTCAGTGTTTGCTTTTTTCGTTTTGCTTTCCGTATTCTCATTAAATTTTTTCGTTTCAGATGAACTCTCTGTAACCTCGCACGGTCCAGAACCAGATAAAACTTACAGAACAACTTCACTTAGTGGATACGGCTAATACCAGATGGTAAATTTATTTCTTGACTAGAGAAGACAACAAAAACAATTTCTTCTGAAGTCCTTTGGGAAGACTCGGTGAGCCGATGAGCCTCACCTTCTCCTGTCCATCAGCATTTTAGACTTCGGTCTTCTCAAGCATCTTCCGGCCGCAGGTTAAGGAGGACAGAGTTCAAGTCAAGTGCCTTGACTAGTAGCTGTTATTCCGAGCCTGTAGCTAAAGCCGGCATCTTAAATCTGATTCTGTTAGCACCAGTTTAATTAAACGAAAATAACATTGATCACCATTCGTCAGTGAAGAATCCTCTTGCATTACTCTTGCAAAAACAGTGATAAGTTTCATTCGATGCGAGAGAGTGAGTGAACTGTGCGCTGCCAAACTGAATTAAAATATTTCTGTGGTTATCATTGTCATTGCAAGGTCTATTTAACTTTTTTAAACTTGAAACTTTGAAAAGTCCGAGTTCTGAAATCAGCAAGTCATCCTTGTTGCTACAGAGCATTTTGATAGGCACAACGGATTCAAATTTCATCCAAGTTGACTCGCACACAACTTAACCTTCACTACTCAAGATGGTCGACAATCCTGTCTTCATTGAAGATGAGTTCATGGTGAGTATCTAATGCTGCTTACTCTAGTTTTGTTGATAAAAGTTTTATAATAATAAATATGATACATAATTTATTTCAATACATTATAGACGCAAATTAAAATTTTTCTTGGAGATGGTGTTGTTACACAGAAATTTACTGTAAACAATCCTCACTATTTTTGGCTTGGGTGTGCATAGTATAACGTATTTTGATCACTTATTCATACTATTATCACTTTAGGGTTAGATATGGAGCGATTTTGACCACGCATATATTAATAAAGAAAGAAAAATGTTTATTTTCATATTATGCTTGAAGATTTGCAAAGTAAAGAAATTGTGATATAAATTATGATTGCATTTTTTCTCCCACTATATAATACGAGTTTTTTCACTTCCATAATAGAGTATTGCATAATTTTTCCGACATTTTTCTTTTTATTTTTAGACACGTTTCTTTCTACGTAATACTAACTTGAAATTTACTCATGTCATGGCCACCATAAAGTTGTGGGTTGTTGGCCTATTACATTTGGATGGTGAGCGTCTCGTATAATAAGTAAGTCGAGTTACCGTTGCCGACATGTGCTGGACGATCGCCGTTGTTTTTTCTAAGCACGCTCAAGATTTTCACTCTCGTTCTCGTACGTTTTGGCCTTGACGCTAATATACCTACTGTCGTTGCTTTAATATAGGCTTAATTTACCACGGGAAATAGATCAGCGTTATTCTCGTCGTCATTTATATAATAACAATTGAAGTTGAGAGTAAAAATTGGTGAGATAATTTTTGCTCAATTTTTGCAATACGGTTAATTGTGCAACATTTTGACCTATTGTTATAGCGTTGTACAACTCGGTACGCGAAACGTTTAGGCCTATTGTTATACCGCTGTAAAACTCGGCAGGTTTAGGCCTATTGTTATACCGTTGTACAACTCGGTGCGTTTAGGCCTATTGTTATACCGTTGTACAACTCGGTGCGTTTAGGCCTATTGTTATACCGTTGTACAACTCGGTGCGTTTAGGCAGTCACTTCCTCTTTTGCACTGCTGTTAGACGCACAGAAATGTAATTGCTGCTGTTAGACGCACAGAAACATAATTTTTGCTGTTACTGTAATTATCAAAATTTGTGACCAGCAGTTCAACACAAAGTACACTTACATGATTATATGCTTGGCACAACAAAAATGTTAGCACTCGTGTGCGAAGAAATGTGTCCATAAGACTAATTAGATGGTTCGTAATTACTACTACTACTCGAGTATTCCTTGTTTTTAGAATAATTTCTATCGGGGCTGCTATAAAGAATAATTTAATATGATGAAATTTGAATTTTGCGGTAAATTTTCCGGATGTTCGCCCTTAAACAAATGTCTGTTTTCAACGCTGGTCGCAATGAGCTCATCAATGCTGCACTTTCCATCGCTTTTATCTGTTTTTCGGTCTGGTCATTTCTTCATGTTCAAGCATAAAGTTTGAACATGTAATCATCGGAGAATTTATTATGAATTGTTAATATTTTTTTGCACCGCACCGGATCGCATAAATTTTGCATCATGCAGTAGTAAACATTTCCGCACCAAAAATGGATTTCCATGACATAGACTTCAGGTAATAACATGTCTGTCATTTACTTCCATTCAAAATAGATCGCAGTGTCATTTTAAATATTCTGCACAAAGTTAGTGACAGTAATTCTCCACACTCCAGCAAGTGACGCAGCAAAATTGCAAGTTTTCTTGACATTCTTAGGAATTTATGGAGTCACCACCACGGCAGTGACCTCAGTGCGCTACGGCCAAGGTCTATCAACTGGTTGCATTGACGTTTTTTTGGGCAGATTAGTATTCTTAGCAGAAGCAAGTCTCTGCTTTGGTCTGGCAAGTCGTCTCTGCTTTGGTCTGGCAAGTCGTCTCTGCTTTGCAGAGGCAAGTCGTCTCTGATTTCTTGGTGCGGATTAGTATTCTTAGCAGAGGCAAGTCGTCTCTGCTTTGGTCTGGTAAGTCGTCTCTGCTTTGATCTGGCAAGTCGTCTCTGCTTTGGTCTGACAAGTCATCTCTGCTTTGCAGATGCAAGTCGTCTCTGATTTTTTGGTGCGGATTAGTATTCTTAGCAGAATCAAGTCGTTTCTGCTTTCGTTCGATTGCAGCTCGTGATTATGACTGCTGCCGTCTGTGGTTTTGTGAATTTCTTAAGACGGTCACATAATAATATTTTCATTATTGGCAGTTTAGTTGAGTCCTCAAAAAACATTTGAGGACTCATTTTCAGACTACTTTCAGTGTCGTCTGAATCCCTAAAGGAATTAATTCAGTTTCTTGGCAGTCGTTTCCAGACATTATGCTCCATTTAATCACGATGAATTTATAGCGTTCCAATTGCTTACTGATATTGAGCATAATGAAAAATTTTCTGTCATATATAAGTGTACTTTAACAGTTTTATTTCTTCCATAAATCGAATACATTGATTAAGAAAAATATTCAAATGCAAATATTTTAAGTGAAATGTATGGGCTCGATATTAGCAGCGGGGAAAATAAGTCTTTCTAGAAAAAGGTTTTTCGGATCGCTTTGCAGGTCATTGCTTGAGTACGTGAAATAATTGAGTTGCTGATTTTTTGTAAAAGTATCGCTGTACAAGAATTTATATAAATATTATACAATGTGTTCAAGACTTCAGGTATTTGGGATGTTGCCTTCATATAAATGCTAGATGACAGCATTCGGCGCAGTGACCACGCGACGCTAGCCGTACAAATATAAGCGCGTCAAGCTCGGGGAGGTTTTGAAACACCCAAGCGTTTCAAAACGGGGGGCCTTTTTCTCTCAGTGATGGAATACACGCTAACACATCAATATATCATTATGTTAACACAACATATCTTTATGTTAACAGATCAATTAATATCTTTATACCAAAATATGCTAAAGAAAAGTGCACGCGTTACTTGAATCTGATGAGTTCAATAGTGATTTCGTAGACGGCTTATGGGTGTTTGATTTCTTATGGGGGCTAGCATACGCCGCTAAAAGCTCGCGTCCCGACGTGTATGAGCTATTTTCGGTTTATTTGAAACGCTTTTTCAAGTGTACGGCGCGCGTATTTTTCAGATTTCCAGCAAAGCAGTCGCGTAGGCACTCGTGTTGGTCGGTGTTGCAAGGCCTGCTTTCGGCCGCGTGTCTGGCATCTATGGATTCAAGTGTCATTCTGAAATTTTCTGTCATATATAAGTGTACTTTAACAGTTTTATTTCTTCCATAAATCGAATACATTGATTAAGAAAAATATTCAAATGCAAATATTTTAAGTGAAATGTATGGGCTCGATATTAGCAGCGGGGAAAATAAGACTTTCTATAAAAGAGGTTTTTCGGATCGCTTTGCAAGTCCCTGCGTGAGTACGTGAAATAATTGAGTTGTTTATTTTTTCTAAAAGTATCGCTGTACAAGAATTTATATAAACATTAAACAATGTGTTCAAGACTTCAGGTATTTGGGATGTTGCCTTCATATAAATGCTAGATGACAGCATTCGGCGCAGTGACCACGCGACGCTGGCCGCACAAATATAAGCGCGTCAAGCTCGGGGAGGTTTTGAAACACCCAAGTGTTTCAAAACGGGGGGCCTTTTTCTCTCAGTGCTAGCCCCCATAAGAAATAAAACAATTCCATGCCGTCTTCGAAATCACTATTGAACTCATCAGATTCAAGTTACGCGTGCACTTTTCTTTAACATATTTCGGTATAGAGATATGGTGATGCGTTAACATAAAGATATGTTGTGTTAACATAATGATGTATTGATGTGTTAGCAAGTATTCTCACATACGCCGCTATACGCTCGCGGCGTAATGAACATAATTTATGAGCTATTTTCTGTTTGTTTTAAACGCTTTTTAAAGTATAGGGCGCGCGTATTTTTCAGATTTCCCGCAAAGCAGTCGCGTAGGCACTCGTGTTGGTCGGTGTTGCAAGGCCGGCGCTCGGCCGCGTGTCTGGCATCTATGGATTCAAGTGTCATTCTGAAGCCGAGGTTGCATGCGTGCATTGTTCGGCGTCTCTATATTGAATGCTTATTTTCAATGCTCCTGATGTCGTTCTCGCGTGGATAATTTGACCATATATACTAAAATTTAACGTTGAATAAAATAAATCGCGAGCATAAGCTTAAGAATCGATGTAGCTTTCTCTAAACTCTGATACCGACTTATTAGGGTTGACTTACTTGCGACACTTGTATACAATACGTGGTCAAGGCTCTCGAGAAGGTGTTCATGTAGTCCGTTCTACTGATCGCCATTTTATTCTTATTTTAATTTAATTAATAATTACCCAAGTCATTTATCCGATGGAATTTCCATCAGATTCTTTATTCAAGACGGCTATTACTTATCAATTTATGTCAATTTATTTCCTTACTTGCACAGTTCCTTACTTCATATTGAACTTATTTCCCACTTTTCTTAAAACTTATTTACGTGGTTAACAGATTTGGTGCGTGCGATACGTCGCTTTAGTATTTTCAAATTTTAAATGGGGTCGAACTAATTTATTTATGCCTCACGTGCCCCCGATTGGACATGTCGCAAGCACACTGCCTGTCTCAGCACGACCGCTCCATGCGATCGCTTCATTACGTTGAGGAACGAGCGCCGCCGAGTGGACCTTTGAAATAACCTTGCCCGCTTGTGTGCATTGTTTCTAGACGGTGCTGAACATGACACGTACTAATGAGTCCGGCTGCCGTCCTAACACAATGACCGCAACTAAACATAAACTTTCCATTCATTGTTCATAAACTACAATTCATTGTTGTCTTTGCAACTTCAGTCCCACTCGCGTTTTGGGCTTTGTTCTTGTTCGATCTCAAAACCTCAAACTCTCCTCATTCCCAGGAATATGTGATCTATTTATTCTTTTCAGATCTATTATTTCTCTTCAATTCCGCTATTTTTTCCGATTTCCCTTATTTGAGGGGTTGTTGTTTCTCGCACCGACCCTTCAGTGGCATTC